TAGCTTAGTTGTTTTCGCTTCTTTACGTATCACCGCTTGATGGGAAGATAATGAACATTCATTTCCGGGCCTGACTCGTCAACCCTTTCAATGACAACCAATTTTTAGTTGATCCCTAATAATTTTATCATATTCTTTTAACAAATCAGGCTCATTTGACAAACGCTTAGTTTGCAGTTTCATGCGTGCTAACCTATTGGCATAGTTACTTGGTAAATGCCCATGACCTTGCTTCCACGGCAGTTAAACATAGTGTTTATGCCCATTAAACTCAATTTTATCTAACAAGGCTTCGTGCACATCGTCAGTTTCCCTGACCCCAAGTGTTTCTAAATCCCACAACTTGTTCACCGGCCTGTTTATGATGTTTGTATTCTGCGTTGCAGTCTACGAAACTAAATTAACATGTGTGGTTATGATTTTCAAGCTCCCTTTCAGTGGACCGCTTACAACCCATCCTGAACAAGTGTCAATAGCAACTGGCTCATCCATTTTGCCATTAATTATTTCACCTTTCTGAAAAAAGGTTATCTGCTCCTGTAAAACATCCATTTCCACCATCTCCTGCTTCAAACTTACATCTGACATAAACAAATTTTTCAAATGAAAATACTTCTCCTTATCCACCTCAATATGCTCATCATTTCCCGTACAAATACGTGGAACTACTAATGCCTCTAAACGAATTTTCCAATTACCCCTAAATGATGCAACCCCACATTTGACGACCTCCGTCATCTTACCTTCATTCGTTCCACCACCAAAGGTGTTGACCATTCCGCCTTGCTACATTAAGCTTCGCATCTTGTTTTGCCCTGTTTGTCACGAAAGACTTCTGACTTCCCCAGTCAAAAGCACTCGCACTCTTCCTATTCCGACCTACATGAGTTCATTGCTCAGTCTGCAAGGCTACCCTAGTCTTTGTATTCACATGCACGTTAGTCACATTTACCTGTTCTGTTTTTCTGCGCTACCACTCTGTTTTTCAGCCCTCTCTTCGTCCTTTTTTACTTTATCACATATAGACACATGATGACCCTCCCCACAGACATTACATTTAGTACGTGCACGACAATCTTTTGCTAAATGACCTTCATTTAGACAAACAAAACATTTTTTAAACTTACGAAGAAGTTGCATACGTTCTTTCGGTCCTATTATCTTCTTGCTATTCCTAGGGACCGAGGGGTTATGCAGAGAAGTAGTACCTTTCCGAGTTGGTATAGTCTTCTCGACTGGTCTTCCTGTACCCAGTACTATGTGATGCGTAATACACCCAACATTCGGGACTGCAGTCCGCAGTAGCCTATCCATTTTAAAGACCGATGTGCGTGGTGAGGAGCCACATCCTGCACGAGGTGGTCCTGCATGGAATTAAACACATTGGATCTAGAGGAGTTTAACTCGAGAAAAAATCCCTCTACTCTTACGGGTAGTTCTAGTTCCTGTGGCGAGTATCAACAGACTGATGTTTCGGCAGAGCAACATCGCAGCTTCGCGGATGATCATATTACATGACAGAGGGAGGGTACACTGCTCCAGTTTGTGGAGAACCGTAAGCGTATCTCAGGCTTGGCGAACCGTTTTACGTATTCAGTTATTAGAAAAAACATGAACAAGTCCAATTACATCACCACGCTGCCACCTGGAATACGTTCAAGTTTTACTTGTGCCATCTGGCATTGGATGACGCACGTCAAGTCAAGTGATTTTCTTGCACTCCTCCTGTTTGTGCTCCCCACAGCAGAAAGCAAAAAACAATCGATTGTTGCGGCTGGCAAACAATCCGCTAGCTGTTCCTAGTCCCCGTCCTCTTCTTCGTTGATCTTCGTCCTCCTCCGTCTTCTTCGTCCAATTGATAATTTGTGGCATTCCCGCAGCTCCCCTTCGACTTGCAAAGCGTCGACGAAAACTTTCATGCCCAACTCTAAGTAGTCTCTTCACCTGGTAATCATCAGTTTAAATGAGCTCGGTATTTTTGTTAGAAGATTTGGCACGACTATCTCGCAATACGTCTTCTCATTTACACCAAGCGCTTCGAGTCCTCGATAATTCATTTCCTCGGCATCAAAGAACTTGCACAGCCTCGTCGTATTATTCACGTTGTACACGGGCTTTAGGTTCATCATATCATTCGCATGTGCCGTTTGCACCATCACTTTGTTCCCGTATCTCCGTTCTAACACCTTCAGGGATTCTGCATAGTTGATCGAAGTCAGAGCAAATCCCGAAATTGCTGACTTGTATGGCTCCTCCACCATTCCCCTCAGATAGGTGAAATTGTCGACCTCAGGCAATCCGTCGTTGTTGTGAATTGAACTTTTAAAAGAGCCTCAGAATTCACGCCAATCTTGTATTTTGCCCGAGAACATTTTTACCTCCAGTTTGGGCAGTTTTACCCTGCAGCGTGCTCCACTGGATAACGTACTTACCGATGTGTTGGCGAGTTCCTCATTTCGCTTGTTTGTCTCTATCGTGTTCAGCGTTTCGTTGATTTCGGCCAACGCGCCCAAAACTTTGAAGCTGTATTCCGATGAGCCGTCAATACCTGCCGCAATATCTTCATCTTTTTCTAACAAGCTCTGAATCTCTTCGTCGAACTACGAAATTGTATCCAATTTCTGTACGAGTACAAGTCGCATTTGTTCCAGTTCGAATTCCCCTAATGGCGCATTATCGTTTACCATATGTCTCACCTTGTTCACAACTTTTGTGTCGTACGATTTGTGACGAATCCTCGACTGTCGCTTTCTTGTCAGCTCTTACATCGTGAACAACGCTTTATCCTATTTTTATGTTCTTCTTGAATACTGCTACTACATCATGCTCAAAGGAATACGTTTCGCACAATCTGTACGAAGTGCTGGTTCACTGTTCTCAAAATTTCACTCGAACGTATTTTGACAATTATATTTAACACTTTGATAGGATATTTACAGTAGTTGTGCACGAGTTTTACGTTACGGAGTTCCAAACGTTGGTTCTTCGCGATACAGAATATTTGATTTGATATCGTTAAGATTACGAAACCGTCAATCCTTAAACTTAGTTTTCGAACCAATTCATACACCAACAACGTCAACTTTTTTGAACCCCCGAACCAACGCTTGCAAGCTATATTTATGTATGATTATTAGGAAGTGGGTTTAGGCGTTTACATGACTTGCAACTTCGCCATTCCGTTTCTAGAGTTTTGTTTCTACCTACATCCTACCGAAATGAAGCATTGCGGGGAGAAAGTGTTCCTATGACATGACTATTGTATTTTAGCTTTTACGTGCATGATTTCCACTGAAACCATAATTTTAACTATCTGCGTATATTTCATCAATTTAATAATATAAGTTATAATGCATAATATAACACAGTCACTCGCTACATAACTTGACATGACAATTTACAACAACTATATAACACGTGCCTTATGCTCGTTTCTTTCCCATAATATTGTTTTGATTGCAAAACTTTGAATTGGGGAAATTATTTTTACAGAAAGTCAAGGTATCGTAACAAATTCTATTCAGTTGAATTTTTCGAATTGGTGAAATCAAGAAAAAAATCTGGCTGATTGTCGCAAAGTATAGTTTAAAGTACAAAACAAACTTGCAAAAATTGTTGCTGCGCAATTAGCCTTGCTGATCTTACACAAACTTCATGTATTAAAATAATTATGTCGTATGAATTTTTTTATGAAGTGGTATTTGACATTAAATCAAGATATGATTTATTTTCGTCTCAGGACCTGAAAAATCAGGTGACTCAACGGGATGTCACCTGATTTTTCAGGTCCTGAGACGATTAAATTGTCCAGCAAAGTGCGAAATCATATCTTGATTTAATAAAATAATTATGTCGTCGACGTCCAACTTTTTTTGCAAAATTTCTATGACTTGAATTTTGGAATGGAAGATTCCTGTTATGATTCAAACTTTTTAATATTCTGTGAACAAGTCATTGCAATTCATAAATATTGAGTAGTTTGCCCAGAAATTGCGGCGAAACGTCACAGTTCAATTTGAAAATAACTTATTACAGGCCTAAACTAATTGTTTTTTGAAAAACGTTTTAATTAAAGTCACCAGCTTTAAGAAACAAGTTTACTCAGAAATCTGATGATCATCTTTAAGACGTTTTTTATAATTGTACATATTACAACAAGATTTTTACAAAGTAGGACGCATTATATTGTTATTGAAGAGAGTATCACAAAACTACAATTGAGCAAGCCATTCTTGTGACATCTAGAAGTTTTGTGCAAGTATGTGCTCAAGCATCACACGACCTTTTGTAAAACAACAAATTGTTCACCGCAGAAGATTTTGCATGAATAATATTGATCAATCAATGGAATAACGTAAATATTTACTTGCTAGAAAAGGTAATATCACCACTTTTAAAGAAATGGAGAATCTATGTTCCTCCAATCTACGTACATTTGCAAATAAGGAAAATATCAGTTTATACCACGCAAACATCAAAGCATGTGATGCCTGGAGTATGATTGTGGGCAAACAAAACTGATATTAAAACTATTGAAAAAAAGGTAAGTAACTTAAACGAAATGGAGTTAAAGATTGGTTAATTAAAGTAAACCCAACTTCTTGCATGTTAATATCCACTTTTCCAGTCTGCGTAACTACGCTATATTCGTAAAACCTGGCTGACAGGGCTTAACAGGCCAAGCTAAGTAGCTGTAAATTCTATGTTAAATTATCGAAGGTTTACAAAAGCCTCTACCCTGATTTGAATATAGACCATTTGCACGTACGTCATAAAGTTACAACATTACTCCTTGCAAAGGCTCACCTAGAGAACAAGCAGTACTACCAATACAACAAATGTATCGAATATGATATCGCAGCTAATCTTTCCAAACAGATGAAGCTGAAGGTTTCATTTTTAGCAATGCATGTTCATTTGCCTCTTTGTGACTGTGTGAAAGGAGTGTAAAATAAAATGGTCATATAAGCAACTTGGCTCTACAAAATACCACAAGAGACTTGACACGATGTTTTGTTTAGTTATAGTTATTTACAACACTTGGAAATGTTTTCATATATATGTGTAAATGTTAAGCTTGCAATTTTTCTAATTTTACAAACCGATGGTGAGTTTTTGTCTCGAAATTTTACGAAAAAGGTTTATGATGACCAAGGTATACTTTGATTTATTGTGCCATGCAAACATATTTCTTTTCTAACATGTACATGTTGAAATCATACGTCTAAAATAAAAAAACAGTATTATGCAAGGATAAATCATTCTCAGTGAATGTAAGAGAAACGTGAAATTGCTTCAGTGATTGGTGAAAATAATGAAAATTTTGGCTTGACAATGGAACAAAATACCAGATTAATTAGTAATTTACATCTTACATCACAGCTTTAAGCAATCATGGGAGAATATGGAAGATAAGTTGCTATAATTGATGATGGTCAAAATGATTTGTTTTGCTGTTTATCATTTTTATTTTCCATTGGACAGAACCAGCTACAGAACAGAATTAATCCCTAAAACTGTCTCAAACAGTTTTGTATTTTTTGTGTAGTTTAGTGTGCAAAGCTTTCAAAATCTTTCAATCCAGTGTAGTCAGTGAAAAAAGATCTCCATTCACCTTTCTTAAATTCTTTTTGTGTCTAGTTGTCACTCTATCCTGAAGATGATAATCTGATTTAACTTGATTTTGCTATGTTATCATACCAAAATCGTCCAAAAACAGCAACAGCATTGGTTACTTTCACAACAGTGTCTACCTTCGCAATGATAGGCCTTCGAAAAACACTTAATCATGATTCAGCAATGCCAAAAGAGTTTTCTATTAATCGACTTGCCCTTGATAATCGACAGTTTTAAATTTTTTCTTTGAATCCCAATACTACTGCCGGACAAGGTTTTACTTTCAGAGGATAAGTCTTGTCACCCACGAATACATAGCAAAGTTTAATAGATGTTTGCCCAAGTTCTTCATCTGTAGGAAGATGCAATCGATTTTCTAAAATACACTGGCCAACAGCACTATTCAAGAATATCCAACCATCGCTGTTCCTTCCTGTATCACCTATATCCAGTGGCGAATTACTAATTACGAGGCCTGAAGGCTAAAACATAGTTGTGGGCTTTTAGGTAGTACCAATTCCTCCCAGTAAGGTCAGTTTCTTGAGGAAGTTTCTGCTTTTCTTGCTCCTTTGCTTTGGCCTTTCCAGCTTCTATTTGTAACTCTTGGTGTAAACAATCAGGAATAAACTTAATATTTGAGCGAAGTAAGCTTACTACTTTATCAGCTCTAAGCCTCGTGCATTTAAAACAGTAGATCGTTCAGTTTCCAACCATTGGCATCGCCAGCTTGATAATTGAGGGGGACAATATTCATTCATGCATGTTTTAATCCCTAAGAAACAATTGTTTTCAAAAGAACTTATTGCACAAAACATGAATATATAAATAAAACCCCCCTCACTTATTGAGCTGGCAACGTGGCTTTTTCCAAAGGCACTTAAGGTCGAATTTTAAAACATTTGGCTAGTCTAGAAAGGCAAAAAGTAAAAACGATGTCGAAATACAACGAGCCTCTCTTATTTAATATTTTTAAGCCAACATTTTCATTTCTCTACTTTTTTAGATCATACAAGCGTTAATTAATATTAATAACTCGTACAAATCCGTAGTAAAATTTGATTTGATATGTTTATATTTATATAATGAGCTCTTTAAAAAAATCACCGTATTAGATTCAACTCTTTTTACAACTGCGTACGTAGCTTTTTCAAAGCTAGCTCTTGCTCTTGTAACTTCCTTTTCAGCTGCAAGACTTTGTACTCGCGAGACGTTACAATAGTATCTTTCGAGTATTTCTTTTCACTTGAAACACAATTACCGTTGCTTATTGGTAAACTGTCTTCATGCGGACAATTTGACAAAAATTTTGGATTTTTTATAGTGTAAGTTGTCCATCTATCTTCATAATTTTGGTTTGTGTATAAATTGTTTGGTATGTCCTTTAATTTATCACGATTGTCGTCTTCTGCCTTGGGATCCATTACCTCTCTTTGATGACAAAACTTTGTCGAAAATACACAGGTTTTTTCTTGCTCACGGGAGCTAAACGTCTTTGACTGAACTAAAAGATTTTCGCTAATTGCATTGTGATTTATAAACAAAGGAGGAGAGCATGGAGGTGTTATAGGAGAGTTTAGCTGAGTTTTTAACATTACCTTGCCAAGTGGTGACAAGGTAAAACGTTCTTTATGATTGGAAAAGACACTCCACCTTTTGATGTGTTTTCAAAATTTATAAATAACTCGGAATTTGCCAATTTCTTTTTATCTCTTTTAACAGAATTTTTAGAATGGCAAACTTCTAGATCTTTTTTACATGACAAAATATTTTCTTCGAGTTTTCGAGTTCCTGTTGAGACATTTTGTGAAAGTGTGCTTTTTTTCATTTCACCTGGATGACCACAAGTGACTGTTTTTTTCTGAAGAGTTTAAAGTTTCGAATCTCACACCAAGATCGCTTTCTTTCGTACGTAAAGCTTTACAAGTCGCACTAGAGGAGATTCCATTCTTCATGCCAGTTTCAATGGAACAAATTACACGTACTCGTCTAAAAGTCAAGATCTTCTTTTAGTATGATTGATTTCCCTTAAAATTTTGATTAATGCAATGCACGATATTGAAAAAGTAAACTTATTACACACACATGAAATTTATACACAATACACAAATGTGCTAAGAAATGTGTCTTGATTCATGTAGTCATGTCGAACTTAGTAGGCAGGAAACAATATGAATTTTTAGTAGCGTGTATCCAGTGAGCTGGATTGGTTGAACCATGTGAAACTTTGCAATTTACTTTCTGTTTAAACTTTTGATTTCATAATTCAACAACTATATAAAAGTTTCTAATAATTTGTAATTTATCTCGGTGTTACGACCAAACATGTACGTGGCTACGCTTCTTGCCATTGACCAAAGTATACAGTGGTTATACTTCTATACTCCATATTCAGTAAACTAATATGGATAAACAATTAAAAAGTGTAGACTATTTATCAGTGGCTGCAATATATTTCAAATTGAACAAGGATATGTTTGAAGCTGAATTTATACACAGAATACAAGTATGTGTTGAAATCTTTACAATCTTTACATTTCTACTTATTATCAACATAAAGCATAGGAACTTAATTGCGCAGTTGGAGGATACCGCACAAGGCAGAAGGAAACAGAAATTTACATAAAACTATTTTCATACAGATCATTGAAGCTTGAAGTTTAGAACGCGGTCACATTTTCCTCGCGCAAAAGGATAATAGCTATATTTTTCTCCGTTACTTGCATTATAAAAACCTTTGTTATTAAGGAAAAGTAATAATTAATAAGTAAAATCTCTATGGCAGTTATTTAACAGCACGCAAAAACTATATTTATCACATGCTAATTTTTAGAGTTCATTTTTCCTAATGTTTCATTGTTCAAGATTGTGTCACGTGAAAGGGAAGAAACTATGCCGTTTCCTCGCAACTACCTTGCGAGTTACATAAAACGCTACTGACCGATATGTAAATAAAAATTAAGTTCTGTCCACCCTCGACAGAAATTGTCCCAATAGTCTAAGTCAAAAAGTGCTGCGTACCTCGAGTGGCAACATTCTTTTACTTGGAGTTTTATAACCAATGCAATGTTTAGCAAGGTTTTTGAAATAAATTGTTTTGTTAACCCCGGACAGCCACGAATTTCGTGTTATAAAATGGCATTAAAATTATATGGAATATCAAAATGCTATGAAGGCTGAAGCAATGATTGTTTGTCTCACACAAGGTTTTTTGGTACACGCACAAAAACAACCCAGTAAACAGAAACTCTAAACAGATGGATGAAACGATGCATGAAATACAAAACAGCAGGTCATATTCTTGACTTTTCCTATTGATCGCCACAGAGCATGTTATTCGAAGTATTAAATATTCTTGCTATCATGTTTACATATTCGGATATTACGTCAAACCAGAATTGTCTTTTAAGTATATGACGTTTTTACATGTCTTTAGTTACATAAAATTAGCAAAATTTTGCAGATTTATTTTGATCTTGACAAGCGTTTATATATTTCACGTTGTATTCAGAATATTGAAAGTCTGACAGAAACTTTCCTTTAAATTTTTAAGAGACACCGCAATGGACTTTAAATCCTAACGCTCTCAAATTTCAACGGATACAAGTTTGACGTAATAGAATTCTTGTCGTTGCCTCGCCTCTACTTGACAAAAAGCGCTTTAATACTTGGGGAAACGGAAAGAGTAAATTGTTAAAACTCAAGAATTCATGATACTCTGAAGATACCTGATTGTCTGACGCGCTTTTTTCCTCATATTCCATTTATTGCAAATTCCACTAATATTATGTCGATTTAAAACGGAGTGAAGAATTTTGAAATTCAAAATAATCAGTGATATGTTGTCATTTTCAATAGGGCGATAATCAAAAGGTGATATATCTTTTACGATTTCAAGAGTCGTTTACAATACTATCAAGGGCTGTATTCTTACATAATGATTATTGCGACCGAAACATAAACGAAATCATCAACTTTGCCTTTTATCCAATAAATTCCTGCCACGCATTATTTTAATTTGACACAAAACATTCATTCAATGTCAACAATGTGTACTTCACAACGCAATAAAAAATTGCGCTAACAAACAAAATTTTAACAAAAGCAAGTTTCCTTGGTGGCTTTCATATCAAGACAAAGTAATCAACAATATTAAAACATACCTTGGTCTCTTCTGTTTACGTTTCATGTTGACAGAATTTAAGAAGAATATAAGTTTGATTTTAACTACAAAACGCAAAATAACAAACTTGAGTATTTATAACTGTTTCTTGTTTATTGAAAGAAGTTTTACTTCTCACGAAATCCTTAAAGAATAAAAACAACATTTACTTGTGAAGTAAATCGTGAGTATGAACACGACAACCGTTGTGAAACTGATATATTCAACCACTAAAATCTGCAATACAAATGTTTTGAATATCAAATTTCATGCAAATGTCATGTGTCCACAATGACCATATATGGTAAAAATATTTGGCAACCCGCTACTTTTATTGATGATTATGCGGCACAAAGACCTTACATAACAATGGCAGCTCTTAATAAAGGCATTTGCAAAATCTTTGATAGAGTACACCATAATATTTTTATCATCGCATGTAAATTTCATAACTATACTTGTTATCAAACAATCATAATAAAAATGAAAACGTTGTATTTGGCAAAACTGATTTTGTTATGAAATTTGAGAAAATTGTCCAACAAAATTTTAGATTGTTATCTAACAATGAAAGATTTCACTGCGCTTAGATTTATTCGCTTCGTATCAAAACTGGTAATCTCTAATTAAATAGAAAAAAATAACCTCTAGTGCACATACAATGTCACACTTTTGTCATAAATAAACCTGACAAAAGTAGCATGGTTAATTTTTTATACTTCACCTCATTTAACGGCTAAAGATTGAGGCAAAACATGTAGAATTCCCATAAAATAAGTTTCACGTAATTCTAGATTTTTCTAGCACAGCTTATGACAGCAAGGTACTAGAAAGTTCAGCATGTATGCTGGGTAGAAATTATAAAATATAAAATATAAAATATAGTAAGATAATTGAAGCCGGAAGTCGGCTCATCTGATAATGACCTTCGTGGGGGGCATCGGTCCCACTTTATTATATTTTTGTATTAGAAAATCACATTTTTTCGTTTTTATTCGTTCTACAAACTTTTGATTCGAGCAAAATTTTTGTGAAAGAGGCAGAACAAGCGGCAAAGATATTTAATCCTAAAAAGTTTGTCTTCTTGGCTTTATAATGACACAAAATTGAGATGGTACAAGGTCGACCAGCATTGTTTTGAAGCAAACTGGAGATTATATGATGTTGCTGCTCCTAAAAAATGTAGAAATATTACAGAATCCGACTACTGCTACCAAAATCTCATCTGCAATGACGTTTATGGAAGATTGCTACAAATTTACTTATTTAACAACACTTTGTTATTTACATCGCTAAAATCATAATAATTTCAAATGACGTCTTCATTATATCAGTGAAGAAAGAAAACAAATCGACATAGAAAAATAATCAGAAAGACAATTTGATGAACAATAGTAAGTTGAAAGCGGTATCATCAAACTCTAGAAGATGTACATCATCAAAATATGCGAATTAAAGTACCTCTGTTGTCATCAAGCGAAGCAAAGTTTTCAACCAGTTCCTATGTGAACAACTTCAATATCGATAAATATGTTGAAGATATGAATACCTTTGTTCTTACTTTGCTGTAAATTTGTAATTTAAGTATTCATCTTGTAAAAATGCCTTGCACGGCTGAAATTGTCCTCCTCACTTTCAACTTTAAAATTTCAATACAACTTGCCATCTTATTTTCAAGTCGTTACAAAGTCAAATAAACAGAGCCTCAAGATTAAGACTCTCTACCGGTTTTCTCTATATGTTATAAAAATTTTGCCTTAATCAGAAGTTTGTAAAAGGAATAACGCGAAAACTGTGATTTTGTAATACAAAAGTATTGTAAAGTGGGACCGATACCCCCCATGAAGCCAGTAGCAAATGATCGATCTTCCGGCTTCAATTTTCGCAAGAGATGCGTTATCCAGTCTAATATACATATCAGTGCTTACACCTAGCTTTGATAGGTTAGCACTATTTTCCACCCAGCAAACCGCCCTTTACTTCACACAATCGTTAATAAATTAAAGATGTCGGCTAATGGGAAAGAACCAAAAGCTAAAAGGAAACCATGCATGCACTGGTGCTAGGTCGTTTTGAGATGGCGAGTAATTTTACATTTTTATAATACAGTTTTTAATATCAACATATGAAAATATTTACAGATAAATGTTGCAGTATAAATTTTCATGCAACCACCTTAAGTTATAAACTTATAATCCAGGCTGGAAAATATGTCGTTTTTCGACGATTGTGTAAAATATTATATAAAATATTATATTGTGTAAAATATTAGATTGTGTAAAATATTATATTGTGTAAAATATTATATTTCAAAACAAAGGGCGGTTTGCTGGGTGGAAAATAGTGCTAACCGCTTTGATATTTCCTTTCATACTGCAGTCAAACAACCAGCATTCACAAAAACCTGTAAATTTAAATTGTAGAATATTCTTTTTGTTAGAAAACATGCATATATGCAAATGTTTTATGTGTAAACATAAGTGTTTTATTATGATCTTGTGTTTTTAAAATAATACTCGAAAATAAATAAATAAAAGAGGATAACGTCGAAGGTCAAGATATATCAAAGCGTAGAAATTGGTTATTTTGGTGAAATTTTGCTATATTGCAGAAAATTTTTCATAGATCATGTCAAAAAACGCGAGATGAAAGATAACGTTTGTGACTTACAAAAGTCAGATCGTATTTCACTTCTTTTCTTTGAAGGTTCAAGACAGACATTTCCTTTCACGAATTTTAATCGTTTTAGTTATATCATATTATGAAAATTGGAAGTCAACGTTACGTAATAGTTTAAAGGGCAATACCAATGACAGTCGTATTGCCAGGGGGGGAATATGTGGGAGCTACCCCACATTTATTCCAGAGACCAATTTCGACATTTCAAAAAATTTAAACATCGATAAAATATTTGCTTCTTTTAAACATTAGCATGGAAAAGTCAGTATAATAAACAGCCATTTTAAACGTTATTGTTTATAAGATTGCCTTGACTATATTTGGTGGCACATCTAACAGAAACTTGCCCCTCTAAAAACTTATGACTTTTAGATTATTATAAAACCTGCCTGAAGCAAATGGCGTTTTAGAGGATATGCCATCAAACATTTGTTAAATAAAGCATGCCTTAAAACCCTATTGAAGTCTCACACTCTTGACAGTTGCATTGTCCCTCCCCTATCTGGAAAAAGTGGTGATGCCACTGACTAATGTTTTGCAAATGATTATTATATTGCTGTTGTGTATATCAGGAGAATTAACAAATGAATCTTTTGATAAAGTAAGTATAAAGTCAGGCATTTTTATTCTGCACAAAGACTTAACTATATGCATTAAACATTCTAACTTGATATTTCCTTATGTTACTTTCCTTTCAATGAATAACATTGTATATCAGTTAGTCGAATAGAGTCGTGTTGAGCACATGTAACAATATAATGATCTTATAATAAACTTTTACTGTATCATTTTAATAGTGTGATATATTCTCCTCCACCATAATGATCACAACACTATTTAATTAAAGTCAGATGCACAGCAACGCGTGTGGAAGTTTAATGAACAACAAACAAATCATGGAAAATTCAATTGCGTTGTATGGTATGCATTATGCTCATGTTAATTTCGTTAAAGATGTTTGTTTCCGTAGGTAAGTTTTGACAGATCGATCAATTCAGTTGAATGGCAGATTATGTATTGGATAACGATAAATTAGACAGAATACAATTTTGTATTATCACATATCACTAGTTTTCAAGATTTTAAAAATATCCCATTTCACCGTGAATATGCATTACAATACAGCAAGTTGAGCTTCACATTTTACAGTTGTAATTATGGCTTCAAACAATATCTCCTTTTTCTTAAATACAGATTTGATGGCACTAATGGTTGATAAGCATTATAGCATTGTTTAAACCTTTCACACAATGAAACAAAAATACTTTCTACTTAGCATTATTCTTAAATTTTCTAAGCTTTTACAGTAGCCAGTATCCAGGCTACCAGTTAAGTTACACAGCAAAAAAAGTTTAAAAATGAGTATCACTGACTCAAATTTAGGGGCATTACTATTTTAACTATTAGGTGCCCCCTCGCATTTTAAATGAAAGTTTCATTGTATATTCCATTATAAATCATTTGAAAATTAATGTTACATGATTGTAGATGTAGATCGTTCAGGTTAGTATAGTCCTAAGAAGGTCTGTTTTTGTTGTTTGACTGACGTTTCGACAACTTTATCGGTAGTCATCTTCAGAGTCAAATGAGGAGTAAACATCAGGTTAGCCGTATTTGTTATCTGGTCATACGTCATTGTATTGTGTGTACAGGAAATTTGTGGGTGTCAATTGTGTATTGTCATTGTGGATTAGTGTGAAGTGTAATGTTTTTAGTTGATCGTTTGTTTGTGTTGTGAATAAGTCGTTTGTAAGGTGCCGGTAATTGCTGTGATCTGTTAAGGGGGGTTTGTTCCAAGATGGTATACCAACTTTCTAATGTAAACCGTTGTCTATAGTCAGTAATATAAGTAATACAATTTGCCGAATCCCAGTCAATGTTGTGCTTTGTGATTCGATGATGTTCGGCAATGTAATTAGTTTTGTCTGGTTTTTAGTAGCTCGTTTGTGTTTAGTAAGTCTTATGTTTAATTTCCTGCCAGTTTCCCCGATATAGGGAGCGTGGCAGTCGGAGCAGTTTATCTTGTAATCTGCACCATTTCGTTCGTTTGGTTGTTATTTGTCCTTTATGTTCGTTAGTACTTGTCGTAACGTTGTGATTGGTTTGTGTGCGACACGTATGTTGTATGGTCTTATGATACGCGATATAATCTCAGACGTACCTTTGATGTAAGTTATCGTTGCTGCTGTAGCTGAGTTGTTCGTTTCGTTGGGTTCGTTGTGTTTGTAAGTGTTGCTTTAGATGAAGTCAGACTTATAGTTGTTTTTGTCAAAAACACGTTTAAGATAGTTGTTTTCGTTGTGTAGAGCGTCCTGTGAATCACATATGATTTGTGCACGTCTTGTTAAAGTTCTGATTGTGGTGGCTTTGTGTGATGCAGGGTTGTAAGATGATTGGTCTAGTAGTCGGTCAGTAGTCGAGAATACGAAGAGTTCCGTTTTCTTCAACATCTTTGGTAAATTATATGTGGCTGTTCTGTTAGTTAATGTGAGTGTAAAAGTCATAAATCTCGTCTGAACGTAGTGCTGTGATTGTGTCATCTACGTAGCGAAACCAAAA